TCTTTTTTAGTTTAATTTTTTCCCTTTTTTTTTAGTATGTAAGTACCACAATGTTTGATTAATTTTTCTTCAGATTTAATTTCTTAGTCACTCTTACACTACGATAAACTTTCAGAAGTTTTATTTGGGTTACCATAGTATTAATTATTTATAGTTTTGAATTGTCAAATTGCATTTTAACATTAGTTAATACCTAAATTAGTTATATTATGACTTCACCATTAATCATAAAACTTTTGAATGTCTAATGTTCACATATTTCTTATTTGTGATAGCTTTATTGCTACACTTACTTTGTTAAAATTAGATTGTATTTTGTCACAAATAATTTAAATTTTCGTTCATAACTATTTCTTTATAACTACTATAACTAGGTACTTTGTCAAATAATCTTCTTAGCCTTTTTTTTACATTCTCATTTACTGTTGAAATACCCTAAACATTGTTGTGGTCTCCGTCAGCTCTTTATGTACTAAGTTAATAATCTATGTTTTATCACATTTTAATTTGTAAATTTCATAGTCTCGTGTATAATTAACCCATTATCTAATTGTTTAAATATTTTTTCACTTATAATCAAATTAAGTCTCATTAGCATACTTTCTTACAGGCCTGATGGTGGCCACTGACCGAAACTAGTCGCTTTCCCTGTTTTTAATAACAATAAATAATTTTTGTTGTCAGAACTTAGAGTTTTTCTTTGCTTTACGGATATACCACATTTGAGATATGGTTAACCTTATTCTCAAATAAAAAAGTATTTTAGACGATCATAAAAAAATATTTACCTTTTAAGGATTTGAAGTCATAGCAATTTTTCCTTTTCAAATGTAGCAGGACGTCTATCGGCGTCAACTTTCAAATTCCTGTAAATCAAAATTTTTTAACTTTTTCAAATTATGAGCAAATTGTTATACTTTATAAGGCAATCCGAACCCTAATTTCCTTAAAAGTATCAATGTTATTTTGAGCACAGACCACTTTTTTCTCCTGTCCATTAACCAGACTGTAGTGAATAAAATGGACAAGTACATCATTGCAATGAAAATTTCTTAACCCCTTTAGATCTGGCACACATGGTTATTTATATCAACTATTCCCATTTGCGTAATACTAAACAACTTCAGACCTATTGTATATTTACTGCAAAGGTACCTATAAAACGTTAAAGGGCCATGCTAATTAATTACCTGAGACCCGCCACCAGAGATAAGGGAGATAAAGATAGGAAACGCTCATAAGAGGCCAATGCTTAACAACGACCAGCTTTATCGCAGTTGACATCTGACCCACTATGTGGCGCTTTCATCGATATCAAACAACGCAGCGGGAAATTTAAAAACCTGATAATAAAGGTTGCATAAATATCGACTGCACTCTCATGTTTTTGTAAACTTAAACGTTTTTGTAAACTTAAACAGTGTAATTACGCTTAATTATTTATTAAAAAGAATACTACACTTAGTCTATTATCGATTAATTATTGTAAATCTATATTCATGACAAATATTTTTTAATTTTTGATTGTTATTTGTAACACTGCATTTGTGTTTTTATTTTAGTATCTTATTTAAAAATGTTGAATGCAAATTCAATAATGGGAATTCAGATATTTTTCTTCCTATATCAAATCTTCTTTCTAACGTTTTGAAGCCATTTTCTTGTTCTAAAATAATAATACATAAACACCTACTTTGTGACAAAAGTTGATTACTATTTGTGTTACCTGAATAGATCTTACCTACTTTGGTTAATTAAAGAACGCCACATTGGGGTTGTTAAATTTGTTCATGTGGCATGTGCATGTTACTAATGTAATACGTTTTCTGACTTATTGTAATATTACAAAATATAATTATTGTCCTTAAATTTCACACAAAAACAGCCACAATTATTTCGCTTAGTTCATCTAGAGGATAACACAATCATAAACTCAAAATTTTAAAATTTAAATTCAGGATTCTTCGATATACATAAAACTGACATTTATATTTACAAACTGTTCACTACTGTCCACGTCTACTATCTGCACACAGTGTTGCCAACCGTACGATTTAAATCGTATTTATACGATTTTTAAACTCTGTACGATGTACGATTGCATCAGTGAGATCGTACGTAAAAATATGATCTTCCCTTTTTTTAGTAGGTTTATTTAAATATCTGTAACAACTTCAGAACATAAAACAATAAAAATCAAAAACTACTCGTAATTTCTGACTTATCGTGATTTTGACCATGGTGATTTTGTACACCGACTATCACGGCATAAGAAAAGCTTGCATGCAAAATTTAAATCACTTTCAAGTGACAGTCATTGATTACTTTAATGTCCATATTTATAAACAAAACTCAGCTGGGTCGGACTTGGGTAAGTCGTCCTTGAACTAAAATCGAAGTTCAGTTATATCGCGTGAATTTAGAGATGGGTAGTAACAAATCTGTAAATGTACATAACAGTAACACATTTACTAATATCCATCTCTAAATTCCAGTGTTACACCAGAACCACCTGGAACTTTAGAGACGTTGTAACCGATTTTCGTTCAAGGACGACTTACCCAAGTCCGACTTAGGTAAGTTCTGTTTATAAATACGGGCCTAAATGTGTTAATTTAAAGTTTCATGTATTTTCTTTAGATTTTTTTTTTTCGTTGTAAACATTTTTATAAATAGATAAATAAATTATCATGCCAAAGTTTTTTTATTTTTTCATTCCGTTTAAGTTATATTATGCTATGCATGTATCTATTGTACAATTTTTTGTCGAAATACCATTTTTCTACTTTACTTGTACGATCTCTCAAAAAAAATATTTGGCAACACTGGTCTCTCTACAAACGACGTAGACCTGTAGTTAACATCTGAGACGCTAGATGACGCCATCGTTGCTGCGGTCGTTGCGTTTCCAATCTTTATGTCCCTAATCTCTGCCCACCACGGAACGATGTACATATGGCCACCCCCTGACCCGTTCCTTGTAGCCGCCCTTGCGGCATCATCTCTTTGACTAAACTCATAGATAAGGGAGATAAAGGTAGGAAATGCTCATAAAGCCAATGCTTAACAACGACCAGCTTTAACAGAGTTAACATCTGACACACTATATGGCGCTTTCATCGATATCAAACAAATAACGGAGCGGGAAATTTAAAAACCTGATAATAAAGGTTGTATAAATATCGACTGCACTCTCACGTTCTGGTAAATAAATTTAAACAATGTAATTACGCTAAATTATTTATTAAAAAGAATACTACACTATTATCGATTAATTATTGTAAATCTATTCATGACAAAAATTTTTTAATTTTTGATAGTTATTTTTAACATTATTCTTAACCGACTTCAAAAAAGGAGGAGGTTTTCAATTCGTCGCAATATATATTTTTTTATGTATGTTCAGCGATAATTCTTTAATACAGTGTCCGATTTCAATGATCCTTTTTTTGTTAGAAAGGGGGTACTTTAGGGGTGGTTCCATATAAATTTGGTCAAAATATAATAATTGGGTCCATGAGAAAATCCTCAAACTCTTCATTTTTTATGTATGTTTACTGTTTAGCGATAATGCTTTACCACCTTGTCCGATTTATATGATTCTTTTTTTGTTAGTACGGGGGTACCTCAGGGGTGGTCCCATATAAATTTGGTTAAGATGTGGTGATGGCATCTGCACGTTTTTGAAGTCGGTTTTTTAAAATTTTTCATTTCTAATACTTGGTCCAAACGAACGGCCAAAGATGTCCTATTTAAAAATGTTGAGTGCAAACTCAATATTGGATATTTAAATATTTTTCTTCCTATATCAAATCTTCTTTCTAACGTTTTGAAGCCGTTTTCTTGTTCTAAAACAATAAATAATAAATAAATACCTACTTTGTGACAAAAGTTGGCTACTATTTGTGTTACTTACACGACTAGATTTTTCTTTCAATAATTAAAGAACGACTCATTGGGGTTGTTACACTTATTCAGGGGCATGTGTTACCAATGCAATAAGTTCTCCAATTTATTGTTAAATTACAAAATATATTTATTGTCCACAAATTACACACAAAAAAACACAACCATTTCACAAACTTAGAACTAGTACTTTCTTTCAAAGTATATTCGCCACTTACATAATAAAAAAGTCTGTTTGTTGATACCATTGTTCTACTTTTTACACTACATATAAAACGACGAAAATTTATATAAAATGATAGTACAACTTTATTTGCAAATACTCAATAATATATAAATTCGAGAAGGGTAGAGGTAGACAGAAGGTATTATGTTTATTAGAATAATAAGTTGAAATTAAGCATGTATAGGAAGATCGGATCATAAGCAATTCCAAGTATAGAATAAGTGAATATGATTAAATAATTCCGGTCAAACAGATATAGGAAGGTTGGTTCACGTTCACGGAGAATTCTAGATATGTTTGGCTAATTAGATTCTAATTTTTAGTAAAAATTTTCTAATTTGAACTTTAATATTTAGATATTTAATTTTGCCTTTTATTAAAACTAAATTCAATTACCCTGTACCTATCTCAAAAACTAGAATTGATAAAAAAAATCTTCTGGTTCTTGGATTTCCGGTACTAACTTTTTTTTTGTTATTTTGTTCGCCTTGGTTATCAATTCTGTATTTTTACCGCGAATTGGACATTTAACCTGTTACAGGTATCAATATAACCAATTCATAACCAATAACAAATGGAATGAGTTTTATCGCAAACACAGAATTAGAAGCAATTAGAATCATATTGATCATGTGAAAAGTTGCCAATAATTTAGACTCAGTTCAGAATTCTTACAGCAAACGAAGACAACTATAGGCTTTGGATGGACGATGTTAGTTCGAATTACACCGAGTATAAATGGCCTTAGTAATACAAGATATTTTAATAGATAGTGGTTTATAAAAACAATTTTTTTTAAATAGCCTCTATTGTATGAACAAAACTTTTACAATTTTGTAGATATTTTATTTATTCTGATATTTTTTAGCTTCTAAGCAAAGCCTGTGAATCTCCGACCAACAGCCACACAGCAGTTTCCGAAGCCATGTCAACCCTCAGATTGAGATTCGGAGAACCAGTACGATTTCGGTTCTTAGTAGGAATGCTAAGTTCAGCAGGAAGTCACGTGGAATTACTCTCGGCAGGATTGAAATTTCTCAACACGTTTCTTAAGACAGCGGAATCGGTTCAGAAAAGAGTTTATCTGCAAGCCGAGTTGGAGCAAGCTGGATTTGATTTAGCTGCGATCAAAAAGGTAAGAATTAAATTAATTTTGGTTATTTCTCTAGAAGAATATTGTAATAACTTTAAAATTAACCTAAATATTTTTATTTTTTAGAACATTGGAGTAAATATCAATACCTGTGAGCCTCTTTTAGACGAGATGATTACGTTTGAAAAACATTTTATAGACATAGAAGGCCTAACAATACGAACTGAGAGTGCAGAAAAAGAAAATGATGATTTAAAAGATAAATTATCTGAATTGGAGCAAAAAATTCAGGTAAATTATTTAAAAACTTTTGGAATAAGAAAGTTACATAACCAGATAATCTGGATATAAATGAATGATATTAAAGGTTCTTTCAACATGAGGGGGCATATACTGTTGTGATCAGTCGGTTTAAAGAATGTTCTTCATATCACTCAACGAAAGTAGTAATAGAAGGAAAGTAGAGTTAATAGCTGGTGATAATATTTAAATTATTAATAATATTAGCAGTTCTTACTTAACTTCACTTAACTTGTGTTCACTAGAAGATATTGACTTGATAACACATACTTTGATTACTATACGGGGCAAGAGAGAGGTCCGACACGTCCAACATATGGCGCGGCCATTTTGAACCCTATGACACAGTTTATAGCTAAAGAATCAGATCGCTCACTCTGCGTCGGCACTTTTGATCTCAATGTTCCAGTTTACACACTGCGCAACTCAGATAATACAATTTATAACAACCGCCTATAATAAAACAGAAGTCTTCTGCGTATCCTGAATTTGTATCACTGGAGTGAATGTTATTTTAGAACTTTCAACTGGTCCGAGTGAGCTAACTGATTCTTTAGCAATAAACTGTGACTCCAAAAATAACATTCACTGACACTGACAGCAGCTTGCAAAATATTAGGTGCGTTTTAATGATCCGCTTCTGCTTCCGGAATTGTCGGTTTAGTCGTTTTAACCTGTCAGATTAAAACAAGAAAAGTGACAATTCCGAAGCAGAAGCGGATGATTAAAACGCACCTATTAAAAATATTGCGCCAAGATGTAGGCAACACGTAATAAGGGATCAAAATGGCGGAGTTTTCTATCTACTTTTAAAAGGCACTCAGAAAGCTGCGCAGTGCGACCATTCTCCGTATAGTAAAAGAAAATCAAAGTATGTGCTTGATAAGAACATATTGATCCTGAAGGGTGCGATCAAGAATAGGTTAGCTTTCCACACATTTGCATTGACAAATTTTGTTATCAGACCAGTCAGTTTGCCTGCCCTGATCAAATACAAGTTAATTAGTACATAATGTCTGTCATTAATTAATTTAATGCTTTGGGAGTAATTTTCTATATATTTGTAATCAAAGAAATTTTTAATACCTTTTTTTTATATTCAATGTAATAAACAATGGCAAACAATAAAACTAATGAAACAGTCCTTTGTGTGGGTTATTTTAAGAGCACAGTATTAACAATATCCGCAAATCTGATTACATCGTAAAACCATATATTTTTAAAGCTTATTCTTTTAATTTTATAGTGAGAAAGGTAACTTTAATGTATTTTCTTTGTTGCGAATAGGTTTTACAAGAAGAAAAAGGAATTTTAATATCAATGGATCAGTGTTTACGAGAAAAATGCAGTGAGTTAAGAGAAGAAGTTCATTCATTGAAATCTGCGCAATCAGATGCCACATCAAGATTATCCAAAAACCAAGGTGAGTATAATATATGTAAATAATCAATATGTGAATTGATAATTGGACATGGTGCTCTTTTTAATGCCAATTTTTGATAATAAGAAGAGTATAGTATCAAAATCCGAATCAAACTTAGCTGGAAAAAGTAGATCGTCTTAAAATATTGAATTAATTACTCAATGAATGCCGTAAATCATTTATTATAACACGATAAAAATTTAATTACTGACCCAACTAATGCAATGCAATGCAAGTCCATTCTCACAACAGCCTTCCTAAATGCCAGTTGGACATTCGTTAAAATTTGGCACGTAGGCATATTTTAAGTTAAATTTTCTATCCTAAAGTCTTATTTGACATTTTCTGGTTTATTAAGAACACAGTATACGTAATTGCATTTTATCAAATCTGTTGTACTACAGGAAAGTGAACTGATACCAAAAAAAGAAGTATTATACGAACTCTTTTGAATAAATTTTCACCACATCTACTAACCCATTGAGGTAGTTACTTAATTAAGAAGAATACTGAAAGTTGTAAATATACATAAGAATAGTTTTCATTCTGGGTTCAGCAAATGTCCGATACAGTTTCTAGAATAACATTTATTTCAAATGTGAATAATTAAACCTCTTTTTCACCTCTTTCAGTAAAATATAATAGTAAAAATTAGTTGGATTACTTACTAATCCACAAATCCATATCTGAGTAAAATTGTAAAAGTTTTTAGAAAAATTAAGTTTCAGTAGAAAAGTGAAGCAAATTCCAAGTATTTAATGTTCAGCAAAGATAAAAGTTTATAAAAACCAACAACATGTGTCATTGCTGCCTAAACAAACACAATGAGAAATGCATAAAACGAAAAATATGTAGCATTAACAATTGCGACCGTTTCCATCATAATTTACTGCAAAAAAATCAAACAGCAAATACATGTATTGAAGCAATAGAAAATAAAACAGTACTGAATGTACTACCAATAACAAGTGTAAATTAAAAATTTAAAAAAACCGACTTTAAAAACGTGCAGATGCCATCACCACATCTTAACCAAATTTATATGGGATCACCCCTGAGGTACCCCCTTACTAATAAAAAAAGAATCATATAAATCGGAAAAGGTGGTAAAGCATTATCGCTAAACATACATAAAAAATGAAGAGTTTGAGGATTTTCTCATGGACCCAATGTTTAGATTTTGACCAAATTTATATGGGACCACCCCTGAAGTAGCCCCTTTCTAACAAAAAAAGAATCATATAAATCGGACAAGGTGGTAAAGCATTGTCGCTAAACATACATCAAAAATGAAGAGTTTGAGGATTTACTCATGGACCCAATTATTAGATTTTGACTAACTTTATATGGGACCACCCCTGAAGTACTCCCTTTCTAACAAAAAAAGAATCATTGAAATCGGACACCGTGTTAAAGAATAATCGCTGAACATACATAAAAAAAAAAAAAAATTATCGCGACGAATTGATAACCTCCTCTTTTTTTGAAGTCGGTTAAAAATAAAAGGTCCAAATAAAGTAACCAACATATTAGCGTTACTAGATGAAGAAAGCACTACGATATTAATTGAAGCGAAAGTTGTCTTAGAATTAGGGTTGAATGGCATAATTTCAACTTTATACAATAATAAGTGGACTGGTAAAATATTCAGACAGGAAAAAGTAACAAATGAAAATTCTCCTACCTGTCATAAACTTTAAAATAGAACTGTACGTAAATTAAATTTACTATAGCAACGAAATGACTCAAAGCACTTGTTGATAAAATTGCCCTTTATAAAAATGTAGCTGTGGATCTATAGAATAGAGCCCAACCCACTTTGCTAATAGGCCAGAATAACACACATCTTATTATTTCATCGCAGACTATTCAACTGAATTTAATCGGGTCTATTCTATCCAGAACAACAAGCGGTTGGACAAGACGTGGGTACGTAGGATCAATAAGCAATGACCAAATTGGTTACCAAAAAAAAAGTAATTGTGGTATGCGAACCATGTGATGAAAAACTTCATGTTATACTAACATCGTATATGAAGCTAAAAAGTGTTGGTATAGTACAAACCAAACAATTTGAGGTTAAAACAAAATGATCAACAACTCCCAGAATCAAAGAAGATTGCAGTGCAAAGACTTTTTTGTCTTAAAAAACGATTGACAAAAGATTATTCATTAAGTAAACATTACAATGCAGAAATCAAAAACTGATAGAGGAAAATTATGCTCTCTTATAAGATTTCGCACCCAAAAAGTAGCCTTTGTGGGGTACATACAGAAGATATTTAATAGAGTTAATATTAATTATAAAGAAACAATGTTTCTTATGGCGCAATTTAAAAAGAACTGCTTCTCTAAACACTCACACAATGATAGCTATGCTGTTCGGTACCACTTCATCACCTTTCCTAGCTCAATTTGTTAAAAACTACAATGCTGGATAGTTTAAAGATTAAAACCTAAAAGCAATAGATGCCGCCACAAATATTCATTATACAGATGTCTGTCTTGATGCCGCAAGTTCTGAAAAAGCAATAATGATACTTAAAAATAACGTCACAGATATTCACGCCAAAACATACAAGGCAGAAGATAATGTACGTGTAGTTGATATTAGGACTGCTCACGGAATTTATAGACGACCTAGCCAGAAGGATTTTAAAATTTAATACTTCTATTGATAAAGTAATTCAACACCGGGAGGGACCATGTTCAAAACTAATAATATGCCCTGTATATATTTAATTATTACATTTGTTATCAATATGATAATCATTTTTGATTAGTTGTGAATTTAATAAGGATTAACGAGTTTTCTTTTAAAATATTGATGTAATACCAAATAATTAACTACCTCCTATTGGAGAATTGTAATTATATTGGAGTAATTACAAATAACTGAAACATAAGTAACTATAAGTTGTTGATTTATCCAATATTGATTTATTACATTTGACACAGTTTAATCTGTTTTATTATGTATATGTTATTGCTGAACTAACATTCCAATTGTTATTCTAGAGTCTACTCCTGAGGATGAAGGAATCTCCTCATCTGAACGCACTCCAAGTCCGGAAGCCGACATTCAAGCGTCCTCACCCGTCTTTGAAATATACACAGCTCCGGAAACTCAACACGAAAACGAATCGGAAGATGAAACAACAATTGAAGAAGTTATCCAAGAACTACAAGATATAATCAGTAACGAAGAAACAGAAGCCTACAACAGGGAAAATCTCAAACTTAATATTCAAAGAAAAATTGAAGAAGAAAAACAAATTACTGGTAAAATTAATACAAGAATACATATTGATGATTATGCTATATCAAGCGATTATGAAATAGTACCATCAAATTTACAACCTGAGCCACCAAGAAAGTCAAGAAGCCTAATCCATCTGTTTATACCCACAGCTGATTATGAACGTAATCCTAAAGAAATATTTTTTGATACAGAAAGTTTAACAACAGACAGTTCTTTCTCAGTTGTTGACGTTTCTAATTACTGCCCTCCTCTTTACGAAAATAAACTACCATCAATTAAAGGAAACAATAATAATTTAAGTAGAAGGAACTCCAAAGTAAGCATTAAACGTTCAGAATCATTCAGACAAGCAGCCAATACTCTATGCAGATCGAAAAGTAACGATCCAGAAGGGTATACGTCCTACCAACCGAATGATTCAACTCTCTGGGGAAAAACCAAGCCAAAAGATGAACAAAAACCTGAATTGTCACTTAAATGCAAAAGTATGGATACACTAGGCGATGGATATGATTCATTTATTAACGTTGTCGTCAGTAACAATGATAAAACCAACAATGCTCCAGGTTCCAGATCGAAAAGTGATTCAGGAAATATATCTGGCACATCACTTTGCAGAAGTATATCGAACGTTTACGTGAATTCCCAAAAAGATATAAAAACTAGATTGAGTTCGTATTCGGAGGAGAAACATAGAATGTTTTTACCTTCTAATGGAGAGGAGAATGAAGTGCTTTATTATTTTCCCAGGATACAGGAAAGAAAAACTAGCAACTCGTCTAGTTTTTTGATGAATAGAGGATATATTAACGCAGGACTCTATTCTGGTCAAAGTATTGAAACTCATCGATATTTTTCAGGAAGTAGAGAGGTTGTAGGAAGCGACTGTAGGAGTTCTGGAAAGTTGACCGATTATCCATCAGGATTATATTAGCGATAGGTTTGTTGCATTTATATTATTAAGATATTTTAAAATCTTACTGATAATGTTTTACAAGAAATAGTTTTAATGAATATTTTATTCATTGTCGCAGAAAATTAAAATAGAGGGCTGTTCACTAAAAAATAAATAATTGCATTTTTACTTTCGAGTTTTTAACTACAGTAAAACATTATCGGTATATTTATATACATCCACTTTTAAATTTGTTTTAAAATTTGTAATAAATTAAAAAAAATGCTAATGAAATGTGAGTTTGGTACTACAAAATGCATGGAAACAATAATATGTAGCTGAAAACCAAGTTTATTTGTAGTTATAGTAAACATTTATATATAGGAATATGTGATAAACAAATACGTACTTTGTATTTAAAACATTTTGAAAATGTGAGTTTCGAAATTTGAAAACTTAAAATTCTTTTGTTCAAATATTAACTGTGTATATACTTTTTTGTAAAGATAATTTTGTGCAATATTACAAATATTTATCGTAGAAGTAGAATTTTTATTTTAAAATTTTGCTCATTTTATACAATTAGTCTATAAGATATGCAATATTTTGGAAAATAAAAGTACAATAACATTTTAAAGGTAAATTTATTAAATGGCAATAGAGTTATTAGTTGTAAAAATACAGAATGTCTCATTACATATTTGAATTATTTTTGATTATATAACTTAATTTATTTAAGATTCTTATTACTACACAACCTAAAGTATTTCAAAAAGAATTTTGGGACATGCTGTAGATATTATTTTCTATCCTTGTCATTTAGGATCTCTATTTAATGTTCAGGGTTAGCAAATATATAAGTTCTTCACTCATTATGTATATTTACTATAGAAATCGATTCATTTACATATTAATTGTAAGATATTTTTTGTTTAATAAAAATAAAATATTTTCTCTCTTTTATTTTGTTTCTCAAAATGCTCATATATCCTTATTTTCACATTCTTCTTAAAAGTAGCTACTTTAAAGATTACAGTGATTTAATTTTGCTTATTTCCCTAGACCAAATATCAGCGACTACTTCTCTAGAGAAATAGTCAATATTTGTTCTAGTGAAATAGTCGTCCCAAATATAACACGGCCTTGATTAATATAGTGCTATTTTTAGTGTTGCTTAATTTCTCTAACATTTTACAATTTGATTCTACATAATTTTGGCATTAATAATCAATTGATTAAAGCTTTCGAGCTAAAGCTCTCGGGCTCTAATCAGATTATTATTGCCTAAAATTATGTCTCATCAAATTAACATTAAAATATTCTCGAAATTTAGAGTCAACAAAAATAGCCGACTATTATTAAAGTTTTGATATATTACCCTTGATTATTTTAAATAAATCGACAATTTATTTCGATAATCGCCTACCTCTAGCGACTGAATTAAATGTATTAGATTTAAATTTAAAAATGTTATCTGGTTTTAGTAAGATGCATTTTCAGAGTTTCATATCACACATCCTCAATATTTAATATCCCTAAAGCAAAAAGCATTAATATATCTACCTTTTTCTGAGGAGTCAATACAAAACAGCATTTTGTTATCTCGACTAATTTTTAATATTATGTACTAGCCGTAGGAAAAAACATAATTTTTAACTAACAAGGAATGCTCATTTCCAAATGGTTTGATTTACAGTATATGCCTGCTGCACGTGCTGCTCGTAGGCGAGTATAATTCCGTGCGAGTTGTAGTGCCTCAGTAGTCATGCGTGGTTTTGGTCCCCTTAGCATGAGCTTACTGATTCTGTGCCCTCTTATCTGTTGCCAGTGAATTAGGTGTTTTGTGTTGATCGACCTGTTCAGTGCCTGTTGAGCAGACGTTTTGTTTATCCCAAATACAGGTTCAGGTCCTGTGAATGGTAGGTCTGATCCCTCTTTGGCGAGTTCATCAGCCTTTTCATTTCCTTGGATACCTTTATGCCCTGGTACCCACGCTATTTTTACCTTGTGGGTTTCCACATCATTAAGTATTCCAAGGCAGTTCCAGGCAAGCTTTAACTTAATTCTGTTTGAATCAATAGCCTTTAAAGCTCCTTGGCTATCTGAGAGAATTAGGATGATTTGTTTTTTGTACTTCCTTCTTATTATCATTCGTACATAATTCGATTGCATGTATTTCAGCCGGAAATACAGTAGTATGTTTCCCCAATGAGACGATGATGTCGCATTTGGGTTTAACTCCATGTACGCCAGAACCTGTTCCATTGTTAGTTTTAGATCCATCCGTATACCATATGAGACCGCTAAGCAAAGTATTTATTTATCTTCTTATTTACCTCGTTCCAGTTGCAGTTGACCCGGAAAAGTCTGTTGAAGGTTAGGACGGGTGTCATGTGATCTGATCCCATGTTTAATATAGAGTCATTTAATGTGTTATTCTGGTATGTTTTATATTTCTCAGTGGGTTCCAGTTGTTGGAGATTTCCAGTCTGTATGCACTCATTCTGGCCTCCCCCTTTATGACTCGGTGAAGGGGTGGGAGGTTTAGAATGATTTCCATAGAGTGCTTCTGTAATACAAAGGCATGCCAGCCCTTTTACTCCTGATAGGGTATTGGGGGCTGGTTTACTTTTGGCCACCAAACAACCGCTCCATAAGTTATCATGGGTCTTGTTATTACCAAATATAACCAGACATTGTACATTTGTTGGTCACTTTTTGTAAGTGTTGGTTCTAACTAAGTTTGCTATCTAGGATTAGACCCAGATATTTTTCTTGGTTCGTTTTGCTTAGCCTTCGTCCAGAGTCGGAGTTTCTAAAACCTCCAACCTTGTTTTCCGAGTAAAGGTTATGAGTTGTGCCTTGTCAGGGTTTATCAAGAGGTTTTCCCAAACGCACCACATTTCTGTCAGCCTAAGAGCTCCTTGCATGAGTTCAAAGACTGTGGTTTGGTATTTCCCTCGGATAAGGATGACTATGTTATTGGCATATTCTTGGGCGTACAGCCTTTGAGTTTTTTGTGTTTTCAGCAGTTCATCTGCCACTAGGTTCCACAGTAGAGAAGAAAGAACTCCACCCTGTGTGCATCCCCTGTGAATATTCACTTGCATGGTTTAACTGATTTGTGCCTGTACTTGCTGTCCGCATTACATGTCTTCTATCCACCAGCAGATGGTGTCTTCTATTCCATGTTTGCGAGCGGCAGCTACCATTTATTTAAAAGAGGTATTATCGAAAGCTCCTTCTATGTCAAGAAATGCTTCTAGGACTATTTCTTGGCTACTGAGGTTACAAGATAATGCAGAGCAGACTCACAAGATTTTCCTAAAGGATAGGCATGTTGGTTTATATGAAATGGCCTCTTTATTAGAGTGGTTCGCCGGACATACTGATCAATCAGTTTTTCCAATTATTTCAATAGGCCTTTGCCACGGCTTACATTGGACGTCCCGGTTTAGGTATAAAGAAAACTCTGCTTTGTTTCCAGGTATTTGGTATATGTTTAGGCACCAAACTTGTCCTGTAGAGCCTACAAATATGTGGGGCCAACGTTTCTATTGCCTGTTGCAAAAGCACAGAATCTGGTCCTGGTGATTTATATGGATTAAAGGCACGTAATGCCTAGGGCTGCCACATTTCCGCAAGTAAAAAGCGTGGCAACCGTGACAATAGAGCATTTTTATATATTCAGCTCCATTTTTTAAAAACATTTAAAAAAAAAAGTCCTCAGTTTATTTTTCTTAAAAAACGAGTAGAGCATTTTTATATAATCAGGTAACATTTTTTTATAAATCCAATTCCTCTGCGGCTTTTAAAAAGCGTGGAATTTGCATAAAAAGCGTACAGGCAAGTCAAAAAGCGTGGAAATCACGCCGAAAGCGTGACATCTGCCAACCCTAGTATTGCACATGTTACTTTCTCTGTTGTGACTAACCGTTTAGCAGTTTCCCATTCTTGGCTGGAGACTCTGTTAAGAGTTCCAGTTCGTGTGGGTTTAGTTTGCTGCATTCAAGTTTGTTGTGTAATCAGGGAAATTAGTTTTAAGAAGTAGTTCTACTGTTTCCATTCCAATTTTAGTTTATTCCCTGTTTGGGTTTTTAAAGTCCCCAGAGGGTTTATTGTATCTTTTGCAAGAATGCTGTGGAGTCTGCATCCTTCAGTTTTATTTTCAATTTCCTGACAGAATATTCTCCATGTATCTCTCTTAGATTTCCTAAGAGTTTTGTTATACTCTGTGAGTGTTTCGGTGTACTGTCCCTACTCATTGGTCTTTTTAGCCTTATTAAAAAGTTTACGTGTTTTCCTTCTGAGTTTGGCAAGTTCGGTATTCCACCAGCTCACCTCCCTAAAAGATTTAATGTTTTTTAACGAGCATTTATTGTGATATTATGTTACAGTTACGTCCCGAAGTTGTTCTGCAACTTCATCTATATCATTTTTAGTATTAGGAGTTATTTTAACGGTTTTTAACACTGCCCCTAACTCCACTCCGTATCCAAACCAATCGGTTTTATGTTGGTCTCAGTATACGTCTTCTGGTTTATCGACGTTGTGTCGATTTCCATGAGTATATGCCTATGATCTGAGAGCGATAGCTCTTTAGACACGTACCACTTGCCAATGTGATTTGAAACGAAGAAAGAACCAAGGGTAATATCAATAACCTCGCTGCGTCTACTGGTTACAAAAGTAGGTTCATTTCCACGATTTAATATTTCCAGGTTAGTGGTTAGAATGAATACAAGTAAAGACTCACCTCTTTTGTTGTTGTCCTTGCTGTCCCATGTTATATGGTGTGAATTTGCGTCAGCAGCAATGAGTACCTGCAGGTTTCCGGCCCGGCAGATATCTACTAGGTCCCTCAGCTCATCTGTTGGTGGAGGGCTGGGCGAGTCACAGAGAAGGTATGCAATAGTTAAAATGAGTGGCCTCTTGTTGCCTGCTATGTTTATTTATATCCTGACTGCTATTCTAAAACAGAAATCTAGAGCATTTGGTATGTATATACAAGCCCTAGTGTTTCCACGTTGGGTATTGTATATTAACTTATCTTTGGTTTTTCCGGGCCCCATCACATGTCCT